AGAATTCTGCTGCTGCTGCTGCTGCTGCTGCTGCTGCTTCTGCTGCTGCTGCTGCTTCTGCTGCTGCTGCTGCTGCTGCTGCTGAGGGGATTGTAAGAACCCAGCAAAAAGTGAAATTAGGGTTTAGGGTTTAGGGTTTTTTAGGGTTTAGGGTTTAGGGTTTATTACCTCTGCTGCATGCTTGAATTTGATGCTGCAGTTTAGGAGAGTATCCATAAGCGCCGCCAGCGGCTTATTCCAGTTCTGAAACACAAACCCTAAACCCTAAACCCTAAACCCTAAACCCTAAACCCTAAACCCTAAACCCTAGAGGGTAGAAGGTTTGCTGGGGTGCAAGAGTCTTGTTTATTAGGGGTTTATAGGGTTTAGGGTTTCATAGTTCTAGGGTTTAGGGTTTAGGGTTTAGGGTTTTTATCCAAGGAACAAACCAAGGGCACCCTCAACACCCTAAACCCTAAACCCTAAACCCTAAACCCTAAACCCTAGAGTGTAAGAGCTAAACCCTCGAAGGGTTTACACACGAAGGGTTTGCGACAGTCTAGGGTTTAGGGTTTAGGGTTTAAATGTGGTTTTTGAGGCCGAGAGAAATGTGTATTAGGGTTTTGTTTAGGGTTTAGAGTCGTCTAGGGTTTAGGGTTTAGGGTTTAGGGTTTAGGGTTTAGGGTTTACTGGCGCTGCCGGTCTATTCATTTTGTTTTATTTTTTTTTTTGAGGGTTTAGAGAAGAAGAAGAAACAAAAGAAGAGAAAGCAGCTGGAAACCCTCGACGAGACGGCGGTGTAAACCCTAAACCCTAAACCCTAAACCCTAAACCCTAAACCCTAAACCCTCAAAAACCTAAACCCTACACCCTCGATCCAGCGCATACAAACTGAAAAATAAAAACATTTATATATTAAACACTCTCAAAAACCCTAAACCCTAAACCCTAAACCCTAAACCCTAAACCCTCAAGACACAAGGAACCCAGCCCCGAGGGTTTGTGCATGCGAGATAGAGAGAAAAGAAAAAGAAAAAAATAAAAATATATTTTATTTTTTATTTATTTATTATTTATTTTTTATTTATTTTTTATTTTTATTTTATTTTTTTAATTTATTACACAAATGAAGAAAACCCTCGCAGCTGTTTCACCGCCGATCGAGCTGCCTATACACCCCAGAAAACCCTAAACCCTAAACCCTAAACCCTAAACCCTAAACCCTAAACCCTAAACCCTAATTTCTTTTTCTCTGTTTCTGACTTCTGGGTGGAGGATTTCTATTTGCTTTTAACTACTGCGTTTGGATTACACAAACCCTAAACCCTAAACCCTAAACCCTAAACCCTAAACCGTAAACCCTAAATCCTAGACGCTGCTCCTGCGGCAACTGCAGCAGCAGCAGCAACAGCAGCAACAGCAACAGCAGCAGCAGCAGCAGCAGCAGCAGATTCCTCTGCTGGCTAGACATCCCTGCGCTGCACCCCCCCCCAAAAACCCTAAACCCTAAACCCTAAACCCTAAACCCTTGAGGGTTTACTCTCTGTAGCACGTTCCTCTTCAGCTTCCAACGTGAACCAAATACAGCTAGCTAGCTAGCTAGCTAACTAAATAGCTAGCCAGCTAGCTAGCTAGCTAGCTAGCTAGCTAGCTTGCATGTAGTGTGCACGCTGTAAGCCGCAGCCTGCTAGCCACCTAGCTACCCAGCTAGCTGGCTACGTAGCTAGCTAGCTAAGCTAGCTAGCTAGCTAGCTAGCTAGCTGTGTAGGTAGCTACTTAGCTGGCTAGCTAGCAGCTAGCTAAGCTAGCTAGCTAGCTAGCTAGCTAGGTAGTGCTTCAGACGCAGAACGCAACCTGCGGTGGGAGAGCTTTCTTATATACCCGCCCTTCATTCTATCTAGCTAGCTAGCTAGCTATCTAGCTAGCTAGCTAGCTAGATAGATAGATAGATAGGTAGATATATATCTATATATGTAGCTAGCTAGCTAGCTAGCTAGATGGATAGATATATAGTTGGCTAGCTAGCTAGCCAGTGGGCCCCATTGCCTTCTGCTATCTAGCTAGCTAGATAGATAGATATATAGATAGATAGATAGACAGATAGATAGATAGATAGATAGATAGATAGATAGATAGATAGATAGATAGATAGATAGACAGCTAGCTAGCTAGCTAGCAAGCCAGCTAGCTAGAGGGATAGATAGATGCACAGCTAGCTAGCTAGCTAGCTAGCTAGCTACATAGTTGTCTAGGAGGCTAGCGTGTAGCAGCGGAGCTAGCTAGCTAGCGACCCAGCTAGCTAGCTACCTAGCTAGCTAGCGACCCAGTTAGCTAGCTAGCTAGCTACATAGCTAGCTAGCTAGCTAGCAGCTAGCTAGCTAGCTAGTTGTCAGCTAGCTAGCTAGCTAGCTAGCTAGCTGGCGGTGTGTCTAGCTAGCTAGCTAGGGGAGGGTAAGCAATGGTGCGTTCTGTTTCTACCGAGTTTAGGGTTTAGGGTTTATGAATTAGGGTTTAGGGTTTAGGGTTTAGGGTTTGGTGGTGTTTTCTACAAAATATAAAGCAAACTCTATTCGTTTACGCTGGTGCTTGGTGTTGTCTATAAACTAGGGTTTAGGGTTTAGGGTTTAGGGTTTAGGGTTTAGGGTTTAGGGTTTAGGGTTTAGGGTTTAGGGTTTAGGGTTTAGGGTTTCGGTTTCTTGAGTAATCTGCAGAGACAAAAATTTTAAGAAATTAAAAAAAAGAGAATTTGCGGCGTT